CGTGAAAGTTCGAGAATAGACGTGGCGTGATACTAGTCATTTGACCTCGATGTCGTAACAATATATATATATATATATATATATATTCTTGTAATAAAAATAATGATTTTATTCCTTTCCACAATGTTTTCTTTCAAAATATCAGTTGTGGTATTAAACACAAATACATACGTGCCAACATTTGAAATTGTTTAGCAAATGCAACAATAGGTGGAGGGGAATGTAAATTTTTTTCCCTTTATATGTAGATTTACATAGTCTGTAAATAATAAAAACCACTTTTTAGTTTTCTCTTGTACACAAATACGGACTGTTCCACCAAAATTGGTACAATTGGCAAGTTTGTAAATGTCGAACAATTTTTTAATGTTATGTTACTTTATTAATTTCCCTACTTAAAACCTGACCACTTCCTTATCATACAAATACTGACACCTAGCTCAGTTTTACTGAACATTTTTGTAAGCTTTTGATACTTTGAACAAGTTCATTTCAGGTGTAAAATGAATAAAACTCAACCACTACAAGCCTGAATAAAAGAAATGGGTACACGCATACATTAATTACTAATTAGGATGAAATTAAAGCAAAAATTAAATATGAAAATATCTGTTTTACATCAAAAAAAAAGAAGAAAAGCTTCATATGCAAGGCTTAATTGTCAAGCTTTCCCCTGAATATATTGATAGTCCTACTTAGATGTCACTGCATTTTAGATATTTTGACGAGATAAAAGCTTCTTCACTTTATAGGTACACTTTTAACATTGTTAATTAAGTCTTCATAATCTATATTTTAGACACGTTACTGACTGTTGACGAGACACTGGGTTTAGCACTTTACAGATATGCTATGTGTTCCCCAAGTCAATACATTTTACAGGTAAAATGTGTTAAACATTCAACACTTTTAAGAGAAAATTAAACAGAAACAATATATACTGTTACGTCTCCGTTTGTTAATTGATTTTCCGTAACTTCGTTCCGACGAAAATTTAGCGACACAAGTCCTTACTTAATAAAACTGGTTTATTCTTTCTGAATATAACTTTACCGATACACTTATGTTCAACAGTCACTCTACAACAAACGTTTTAACAAACGTTAACTTCAACAATACTTCCTGACTGCAGATCAATTACTCACTGTCTACACACACATTATTGTCAC